TACAACAATTTAATAAAATATTTTATTATGTAATATTTTTATTATAAAAATTAATAATGATATATAATTATAATATATATATAATTGTTTTGCTACAATTAGAATATATATATATGATTGAGCGATATATCACGTAAATTTCTATGCATATTTAATATATAATATATTTATATATATATATATATATATATATATATATATATGTTTAGATATTCATATTTATAACACAAAATTAAAACTGTAAATTCATATATTTTATACATTCATTTATTAATATAACTATATGTACAGATATATATATATATATATATATATATATATATATATATAAAAACATATATGTGTACATCTATTCATGCATATATCTCGATATCTAGATATGTAAAAATAACCAATTTTCTTTGCATGTGTCGATATCTGAGTATGCATGTTTCACATGAACGCGCGCTCATATACAAACATATATACACACACGCGTATATATACATACCTATGTACATACATACATATATACATATATATATGTGTGTGTGTGTGTGCGAGCGAGCGCGCGTCTGTGTGTTTGTGTGTGCGTGTATGTGTTAACGCATATATTTTCATATCCCCTATGTATAAACATGCATTTATGCATACGAACATGTGTATACTTACATATATCTGTACATAGATAAATAGAATTACACGGTTTTTGATCAAAATTCTTTCTTATTCTTAGTCATTTGCCCCGGGGGTAACATATTTAAGTTGTTGTTTCTGAGTTGCCTGCGGCTGGGGTTGACAAACGAAATAATGAATGAAAATGGTGAAAAAAAAAAAAAAGAACTACGTCTGAATGTTGCCAAGATGAACAATGAAAATTAGCAGACTAGTATTTGGAACTAATACCAAAATTTAAATATTAACACTGATGTCATAATTATTATTATTATTATTAATAATAATATTATTATTAATAATAATAATAATAATAATAATAATAATAATAATAATAAGAAGAAGAAGAAGAAGAAGAAGAAGAAGAGTTGTCCTCTTAGAGTCATTGGCGCGTCTCTGTAGGAAAATATGGACTTGAAGTCGACAAGAACTGGTACAAGCCCAAGTCAGAAGGTGATCGAAAAGACCAACTCAAGATCTTGTGGTATTTCAACATCCAAATAAATTGCGTCATTGATTCAAACCAGACATTGTGGCCGTTGACAAATAAACACGACATTGCCTCAATGACATGGTTATCCCTGGTGACCATAATAACATGGTCAAAGGAATTGACAAGCACAAGAAATGCAATGATCCTTGGATTGAAGTTGCCAAAAGGTGGGACGTCCAGTCGCCAATTGTTTTAGTTATCATTAACACGTAGGTGTCTATATTATTATTATGATTACGAAAGTGACTCTGTGACATATTTATTCTTGGTGACCATAATGACAAGGTCAAAGAATTGACAAGTTCAAGAAATGCAGAGATTATTAGATTAAATAAACCAAAAGATGCGATGTCCAGACCCCTATTGTTTAAATTATTATTAAGACGTTGAGGTCTATATTATTATTATTATTATTATTATTATTATTATTATTTTCTTCAATTTCTGGCGTTTACAAATTTCTTTCTGGGTCCTGCCCAGGGACCTAAGGTTAGAAATGGCATCATGACACTTTCCACTGACAAAACAAAAAAAATTACATAGATAAAGCCCTTCATAAAGTATGGGCTGTACTTGTCAGAACAATTTTTTGTATATCCTTGAGGCATGGACTTCCAGGAATCCCTTCAATTAGTCTACTGCACTCTTTTCCAACCAGTCCTAGGGCTCCAACTACAACAGGGATTGTTGATGTTCCCATATGCCACATTTTCGAGATTTCTATTTCAAGGTCCTTGTATTTTGATAGCTTTTTGAATATCTTCAAAGATACATTGCAGTCAGCAAGGACTGCTATATCAATAAGGAGGCACTTTTTTGTTTGTGGTCTTTAATAACAATGTCTGGGCGGTTGGCTTTACATGACAGAATAACAGGAGATTTTCATATGATTTATATTAAGCTTTTTGATTAATTCCTCTTAGTAACTAATCAACTAACGGAAAATTTCAAGATGAGCACGATCACCATCATATTAAGCACATTTCCGTTGCATGCCATTCACGCTGGCGGCGTTTCATTCGTTTTGACGCGTTGATTACCACTACAACCGTTTTTCTCAAGACAAGCGACGTTTGTACAAAGGCATATTTTTTTGTAATTTTTAAAAACATTTTTACACTTGTATACAATTTTTAAACATAACTTGAAAAAGACAGACATATTGTCGAAATATTGTTGAATATTGTTAAATATTGTATATTTTTTCTTAAATTGCGGTCTTGTTTAAGTGTTGAAAAATACTGGAAGAGTTACGTCAACCATTTTCTTTATTGTTATTATTATTATTATTATTATTACTATTATTATTATTATTATTATTAGTAGTAGTAGTAGTAGTAGTAGTAGTAATAGTCTATGCATTTTTCACAATAAACCTGCCGACCTGCCATTGTTTTAAATATTCCCTGATTTCCAGTTCCCCAATCTCAACATTACATATATTTTTTATAGAAGTTTCCATGGAGGCAATGGCCACGAGCACGATCTTTATTCATATTTTCCACCGCTTCTTCAGTTCTCGAGCAAGGTCTTAGAATTTTTGCATTTATTCTTTTTTTTTTATAAAAAGACTGTTATGAAATTATATCCTTTAATTAGTTGCAAAACTTACAGAAACGATTTTTTCACGTCTACAGCATCAACAACGACGACGACGGAAACAACAACAGCGACAATTATTATTATTATTATTATTATTAATTTGGATGTTCGCACCTGATGTCTGACAGTTTTCACTGTGCAATGAGTAATAGCGAGTCTTCTAAAATTTCCCGCATGTTTCGCGGTTTTCTTGTCGACCTCAACATCACTTCTGGAAAAGTATCAATCATACTTTGAGTGTTCGATTTCGCCAATCTACCCTCTAGATCTTTTGGCGCTATTCTAAGCAGGCTAACAATTGTGGACCCAACATTGTTCTTCATTGTCAAAATATTTCCTTCATTTTGCAACAGTCTTATTTCCGCCAATTCTTTCTGCAATTTCATTATTTATTTTTTGTCATTACGTTTATTTTCTACTATATTATTATTTAAACGAAAAGAGGAAAGAGATGATTTATTGTAATAATTGTAATGTATCAACCATTTATTATAATTATTATTGCTGTTGTTACTTTAATAAACTCAAGGATGATTAACATAATAATGGCAAAACTGGAATTTGACATAACATTTAATATTAATTTTATTATTATTTAATAATTGAAAGCCCATATAAAAGTAAAGATATATAATATGAAATATACAACTTATTATTAATGATATTAGAAATATTTACTAAAATTAACTTTTTCTGACACAAGGCCACAAGTATATGAGTATTTAGTCAGGATTAAACTTACTATACAGTAGTAAAGGTCTGCTCGATTATGTTTCTAAACATTACACAACGGCGATTCGATCTGTTTGATATTGTTATAATTATTTGAAAATTGGAAACATAAGACACTGCCAAATTTTAAATACAATATTGAACTCATTATTTCTTGGAAAAAATGTCCGTCTGCTCGTATTCGAGTTTACCCGTCTGCTAGTGTAACTAGCTAATCCCTGTTGCAGACGCCTACTCAGGTACCTAATATGTTTTTCAAACGCCCAGGAAATTATTCTGTAGTCTATGCTACAACTATGCTGAGCAGACGTTAGTTACAGTTTCTGAGAGAAAGCGCATAATCTGGCGTTATCAACAGTTTTGTACAAGTCGCTCATCACCGTGACGAAAATGGCTTCCAAACAATTCCGTCTACACACTTTCACTCACAAGGTTTTGATCAACCCGTGTTATGGTTTTTAGGTATTTCCCTACGTTAGAATCATTTCCCAAGGCCGATGTTATCAAAAAATCAACTTCTTGACAAATCGACCCTGGTGAGATTCGAACCCTGATCACAACGCTAACATTCTAAACACTCGGCCACGCAGACACCGAAGAAAGAGAAACTGTGCTATAAATGGTAAATATAATGGTATAGATGTAATTTTTTCGTATTGTTACTGCTATATGTCATTAAGTGTTTGTTTTTTTTTATCGTAGTAGTAGTACTGAAGATGATGTTAGCAATATTATTTATTATTATTGTATCTAATGTGTGCAAGAAACTATGGAATAAAAATGACATAATCGCCCAGTTTAAAAGCGATTTGAAAGCGAGGCTGTATGAATTTTAATCTAATCTGTTAGCTGCCGATATCAAAACTAGATCAAGAGGCTTTAGGGCATAGGTTTTTACGCTGAGAGCATTTCTTTAGGATACATACTTCGATGGGTTTATACTTATGTTCATACTTACGCGAGCGCATCTTTGCATATATATATATATATATATATATATATATATATATATATATATATGAATGCAAATATCATATGTATATGTGTGTGATAGTAGATAGATAATGAGTAGACTTGAGATAGATATGAACATAGAGAGATAGATATGAACAGACCTTGATAGATAGATAGATAGATAGATAGATAGATAGATAGATAGATAGATAGATATGTTATTGGCTTTAATATATATTTTTCATAGAGGAAACATATTCCTTTACAGAGATCAATGTCAGTAGATACAAAAAATATGCACAAGATGAATGTGTATACGCATGCGCATAGTAGACATGTTATATTGTTAGAATCGACATCTACAAATGAACAATGAAAACTGATCATTAATTTACTAATAAAAACTGATGCTTATACATTTCAAACCTATTGCTCAACGCAATATATATATTTATATAACATAATTTACACTTCCACTGTTTATTATAACTATCTTATTTTTATCTATCTATCTATCTATCTATCTATCTATCTATCTATCTATCTATCTATCTATCTATCTCAGTGTTTTCATTATCTATCTATCTATTATCTATCTATCTATCTATCTATCTATCTATCTATCTATCTATCTATCTATCTCAGCGTTTTCATTTTCTATCTATCTATCTCTCTATCACAGCGTTTTCATTATCTATCTATCTATCTATCTATCTATCTATCTATCTATCTATCTATCTCAGTGTTTTCATTATCTATCTATCTATTTTCATTATCTATCTATCTATCTATCTATCTATCTATCTATCTCAGTGTTTTCATTATCTATCTATCTATCTATCTATCTATCTATCTATCTATCTATCTATCTATCTATCTATCTCAGTGTTTTCATTATTATCTATCTATCTATCTATCTATCTCAGTGTTTTCATTATCTATTCTATCTATCTATCTATCTATCTATATATATATATATATATATATATATATATATATATATATATATTTATGAATAAAAATGACAATAGAAAAACTGGTAATTGCTGACTTTATCAAAGCAAAATGTATTTTGCTTTGATAAAGTCCCATTGAACGAAACGCGTCAGCAATTACCAGTTTTCCTATTGTCATTTTATTCATAAATATTGTCTTCTCTACTGGTTAAATCGGAGAAATATTTCATATCTATCTATCTATCTATCTATCTATCTATCTATCTATCTATCTATATATATATATATATCTATATCTATATATATATATATATATATATATATATATATATATATATATATATATATATGTGTGTGTGTGTGTGTGTGTGTGTGTGTGTGTGTTTGTCTGTGGAAGCGCAATCCTTTATGTAACACGTTTGCATGTTTACTACGACCAAATCCGATATTCTGGCCTCAATTTTGTGATCCATTTAAATCGAAAAGTTCAAAAGAATATCTAAGACAGATCTATTTGGTTTGTACATTTCCCAGCCGATCAGCTTATTCATTTCTTTATGCTTATTTTTGTATTCTTTATTATTTTATGTATTTGTATTCTTATATCCGATGTCTGAAGCTTATAATTGGTCATCGAATAACAGGAAGCCTCCAGCTTCTTGTTTACAGTGCTATGTATTTTAAGGACGTGGGCTTTCATAGCTTTCCAACACGTCCTGCCTTTTATCGCTCTAAGTAACTCTTGTCTTTACTACCTTTCCTAGTTCTTGTTCTGTCACCCATTCACTCATACTCAAACTGTTCTACTCTGCTTTTCTTACCTTCAGTATCATGTGAGTATCAAATTCACCAAGCCTTCTATCCTCACTCTGTGTTCCAAAAATTTCAGCTATCTCTTTCCTTTTTTCTCGTTTCTTGCCTTTTCAGTATACGTCGATTGAAGTATATTTCTGTCATTTCTAGTCTCTTTATCTGTGAAGAGATTCTCCAAAATTGTCTGCATTATAAGAGCAGTATATAATAATAATAATAATAATAATAATAATAATGATAATAATAATAATAATAATAATAATAATAGAACAATCAAAGTTAACCGCCCAGACATCGTGGTTAGGTGCCGCAAAGATAAAAATTGCTTCCTTATTGATAAGGTAGTCCCTGCAGACTGCAATGTATCTTTAAAGATCTTCAAAAAGCTATCAAAATACAAGGACCTTGAAATCGAAATCTCGATAAATGTGGCGCGTGAGGACATTAACAATTCCAGTTTTAGTTGGAGCCCTCAAATTGATTGGAAAAGAAATAGACTCCTTGAAAGGATTCCTGGTAGCCCATGCCTTAAAGAAATACAAAACTTATGCTCACAAGTAGAGCCCACGTTTTACGAAGGGCTTTGACTATGTAAAATAAGTGCGATTTTTTTTTTCTAATTGCTTAGTGGAAAATGTCATGATGCCATATCTGACCTTAGGTTTCTGGTCGGGACCCGGAAAGAAATCAAAGGAAATAAAAAAAATAATAATGACAATCATTATTATGTTTTTTCACTTTCACACAGGATGTCTAATGGCTATTGTACCTTTTTACATTGTACTGTCTTACAATGTACCTTTTTACATTGTACTTTTTTACATTGTACCTTTTTATATTGTACCTTTTTACGTTGTACTTTTTTACATTGTACCTTTTTACATTGTACCTTTCTACATTGTACTTTTTTCACATTGTACCTTTTTATATTGTACCTTTTTACGTGACTCCAGCTAAGAGTTCTGATGATTTTCAATTTTTGGTCGATTTTTCAATTCGTCCAATCACAATTTTTTTTTTGGGGGGGGGGTTGTTGTTTTTTTTGGATTTTTTGTCCATTTCTAATTGAACCAATTATTATAGATACTAGTTTAGACTTCATTTTCTGCATAATCTTCAACCAACAGGTAAGGTTTTAATAATTTTCCCGTTTGTTTTATCATCATCATAGGATTTACAGGTACAGGCAAATCATCTTTTACGAGTTACATCAATCGAACCCAGTTTTTTCGTTTGCACAATTCCCATTGTATAACTGTTCTTAGCCTGTCGTCTGTACTTTTGTATTTCTTCTAAGCTAGATTGCTGCATTCACGTATGATTTACATACTCGTGTTATCATTTACAGAAGCATATCTTTTTAGTCGAGTCATAGTTTAAAATACCTTCATGCTGGGTAATCAAATCCACTCAGTCCCCAATTGATGTTCCCAGGTATATTCACGGAACACCCAAGTCGCCTTAGTTGCTTGATCCTTGAAACATTTTATGCATGTACACACACATATATATATATATATATATATATATATAAATCCTATATATACATATGTGTGTGTTGGTTTATTGATTTATCTCTTAATAGATATTTGTGTAATTGGTAAACACACACACTGATTTTTTTTATCTATGTTAATAAATATATATACGACTGATAATTTTCATATCTGTGGCAAGAAGACACGCAAGATTTGCTAACATAAAAATGTTTTTTTATTAGGAAGAAATATTTTTTACTGTAGGACTAGCGATGCTCCAAGTTATTTTTTGTGCAAATAAGAACCGGTAAGAACTTCTATTAAGTACTTAAAAAGAAAAGAAAAAAGAAAGTACATTTTAAAAAATATTGAATAATTAAATGGACTTGTCACATATAAGGTATCCCAGGTGATATCAGCATCGCATTAAACAAGGATTTAATCGTTTGATAATGGATAATATGAGGTATTAATATTTGTTCTCAGACTTGATTTTCTTCACCTACCAACTTTACACTCCCTGACACACGATAAATAAGCGTTAGACGAATAACTCATGATACACATTCGTGGTCTTTTTTTTTAATTATCGTAATCTGTTACATTTTATCAGACCCACGAACACTTTTAAACGTCCTAATCCTGAAGATATTTTCGCTTGTGACTTGTCGTAATTCTCAAAAAAAAACCTACGTTCGGCAGACTGACTTCTAAAGTGATATATAGTATCGACTCATGTGTGAGTTATGAAGATCTAAAGAGAAAGAAATCGCAAATGAAATGGCCGAGCATGTGAACGAAGGAATAATATTCATCTATTAATATGATTACTAAACGGACAATATCACTATGATTGTTTTACCCATAATGCACGTTTCCTTTTAATCAGCGAGACATTCAATTTGAACGGAAATGTGGTCACGTTTCAAGCACGCATGCGCATGCGTCCACGTGCTCGAATGTATCTGTGTGAGTGTGTGCGTACATCCAGGTGTGTTTACAGTGTGCCTGTCGGAAGGAGAAAAAAGAAAATGGTGGACAGATGTGTACAATAAGAAAAATCTTTGTAAATCCCAAGCGAATATTTAGCCGATAATGACACTTATTTTTTTTTCTTCTAATTGTTTATTTTTTTGTGGTTCTTTGAAATTATTTTTAACATGAAATAGAAGAGAAAACGAATTGAATCAATAAGAATAATAAGATAAAATAGTCAGAATGTTTTTTTTTAAATCTTAGTTTATCTCAAAATTTCCTGTTTAGTTTGCGTTTATCGAAATCCTTTCAAATCAATTTTTTTTCTAATCTAATGGTAATATTATTTCTTAAAAAATACTTTGAATGATATAAAAAAAAGCGCATTTACACTTCTCTCGGTATGTATAAATAGACATTAGAAACTCTGAATATATATATATATATATATATATATATATATATATATATATATATATATATGTATGTATGTGTATGTATGTGTGTGTGGAATTACAATTAATGAGATCCAAACAATTTACCACATGTGTGTGTGTGTGCGTGTGCATGTGTATGAAAACGATATGTAAAATATATAGACAAAAAATATATAAAAAAATAATAATTTGAATTTTAAAATTCTCAGTGACTCTCTTATTCATACGCATGCGCTAAATATAAACATTAGTTTAATCCGATAAAGGGTAGCAAAGAAATGCATTATACGAAAACGAAATGTTTTTTTTTCTATTTGTCATAGTTTTCCTTATTATATATATATATATATATATATATATATATATATATATATATATATATATATATGTGTGTGTGTGTGTGTGTGTGTGTGTGTGTATCAATGATGATATAGATATATATGTAATTAATATTTATACAGAGATAAAAAGAGATAGACATGAACAGAGAGAGAGACAAAAACATTTATTTTACTCCGTATGCCCTGAAATTTTGAAGGCTATTCAATGAGACATGCAAGCAGATACATTGTTTGAATTATGCTCTACCGAATGAAATAATATATCAGTATTTGCATCTTTTAGATGAGAAAGTAAAGTATCGATCAGGCTGATAGTTTTAGAGGAAATATCTAATGTAATTCTTCAATTTTTTCAGCTAAACAGATTAAAAATAACTAGTATGCATACACACACAGATAGATAGATAGATAGATAGATAGATAGATAGATAGATAGATAGATAGATATGAACAAAGGATAGATAGATAGATAGATAGATAGATAGATAGATAGATAGATAGATAGATAGATAGATATGATCGGACTGTGATAGATAGATATGAATAGACTGTGATAGATAGATAGATAGATAGATAGATAGATAGATAGATAGATAGATAGATAGATAATGAACAAAGGATAGATAGATAGATAGATAGATAGATAGATAGATAGATAGATAGTGAAATCGATATAAAGATATTAAACAAATGGTAACTGGCAGAGTCACGCCTTAAACGATCATCAGACCATGTCTCTATCTCTCATCATGTGTGAGTGTGTGCATGTGTCTATATATATATATATATATATATATATATATATATATATATATATATATATATATATATATATATATATATATATATATATATGTGTTAGTGTATATATGTGTCTATATATATATATGTATGTATGTGTGTTTATGCGTGTGTGTTTGTGCGTGTGCGTGTAATATCAACATTTTAAACAGTACGTTTATCGTCAAGGGTGTATGACCGATAAACTAGTTAATGTATGACTGGCTTACTCCAACCAAAACTGTTCTATCAGCTATCGAATCATACCACTGGAGAGTCTTTTGTCTATATATTGGTAATGGATAAAAAGAGCGTACTGAAATAATCTATCTATCTATCTATCTATCTATCTATCTATCTATCTATCTATCACAGTCTGTTCATGTCTATCTATCTATCTATCTATCTATCTATCTATCTATCTATCTATCTATCTATCTATCTATCTATCACAGTCTGTTCATGTCTATCTATCTATCTATCTATCACAGTCTGTTCATATCTATCTATCTATCTATCTATCTATCTATCTATCACAGTCTGTTCATGTTCATCTCTATCTATCTATCTATCTATCTATCTATCTATCTATCTATCTATCTATCTATCACAGTCTATTCATATCTATCTATCACAGTCCGATCATATCTATCTATCTATCTATCTATCTATCTATCTATCTATCTATCTATCTATCTATCTATCTATCTATCTATCACAGTCTATTCATATCTATCTATCACAGTCTGATCATATCTATCTATCTATCTATCTATCTATCTATCTATCTATCTATCTATCACAGTCTATTCATATCTATCTATCACAGTCTGATCATATCTATCTATCTATCTATCTATCTATCTATCTATCTATCTATCTATCTATCTAACAGTATGTTCAATAACAGATCATCGATTTGAATTATATTTATTGAATGTTACGTTATTTAAAAACATTTAAATAAAATATTCGTTGGTAAGGGGGATTCTAATAATAATTTTATGTACATTTAAAGAAAAGCTAAATATTTGCTTTCGCGCGCTATTCAGACTCAAAAATGGTTCACTAAACTATTACACTAACATTGTCAATCGAAATAATCGATAAAGAGAAAAAAATATAATTTTCAAAATCTACTATGCTAAAAATATGCTCTAGGGTTCCATTAGTAACTCTGGAAAATTTGGTGGACAGTATTCTAGTTGTCCTTGAGTTATTCGATGACAGACAGATAATAAACCGACTGACAGACAAAATAATAAGAAATAAAAAAAAAGGAAAGTGAAAAGAAAGGCATTTTGTAAATTATGATATTCGTGTTTTTCTTTCCTTGAGCGTACTTTGGGTGGCACATGTGTTATTTCTGATGTAAGCATAAGTCGATGAAAGCTTTTAAAAACGTACAAACATTAATGCTATATTCAGAAGGACGTTTTACAAAAGATAAATAAAAAGAAAGAAAAGAAAAACAGGATGAAAGGCAAAGAAAGGAATGAAGAAAGCAAGAAAGGAACATGTACAAAATTGGTCAAACACAGAATTAGGTTTAGCCTAATAAATACATACTTTTGTCATTAATGTTACTTTATGTATGCAACTCTTCATCTAAGTCCCTTACAAATAGAAGATTGCGCAAAAATTTCAGGTAAACACACACGCAAAGAAAAAAAAAACAAATAAACAAAAAGAAACACATATAAACACAATAAAAAACAAAAAAAAATTAAATAAACAAACACACACACACACATACACACACACACACACACACACACATACGTATATGAATAAAATATGCATAAAGAGAATAGAAATATGCCGATGGGTACATACACATAATCCCGTAAACTAGGAATCATAAATAGATATATACACAAATATAAAACGCCATGTTCGACAAATGGTCAAAATATCTTTGATCACTCATGTTATCTCATGAACGTGCCTAGGATAATTTATAAATCGTATTATAAATTTATATATATATATATATATATATATATATATATATATATATATATATATATATATATATATATGTATCTATGTATAATCATTTCATACAATGTAAGGCAATAAAGCCACTAATAGCCAGGGGCTTACTGAGTGTAAGAGAATATGAGAAATAAAACAAAAAACACTATTAAGGAGAAGAAGATTTAAGAAGACATAATGTAATGATTAACATTACATTTAAAATTGTGATGATCAAAGAAACTGTTAGCTTAGAACTTAGGTTACATCTCGCCATTTCTATTCTAAAAAGAATTTCTTTTTTTTTA